AATATTCTATATACTTAATTATGAATTCAAAGTAAGTTTAAAAGACCATTTTTGTAACAACTTACTTGGTAATAAATCCTAACGACAAATAATTCTCAATCATGAGTGGCTAATTTTTGGGTCAAACCAAATCGGCCGATATGCTTATGACTAAGTAATTTATTATTCCTAGCCGTTTATAGAATTTGGGATGAAGTTAAGGATAAGGGATGCCATAGTAGAATTTTTAAAAAATATTTTTTAAAAATTTTACTACGGTGTCTTTTATATTAAACTTCATCCGTTTAATCTACTGAAGCTACCGTAAAGGTGCATATACAAGATCCGGGTCTCTTACGTTCCACTAAAAAAAATTAATTAGTAAAAAAAAAGAAAATAATTAGTAAAAAATGAGGGTAGATCGATAAATTCCTTAGTCTGTCATTATTATTCTAAACTAATTTTAAACTATATATTCAAGAATTTCTGTATGCTGAATCTAAACCAGGCATTTCAAGAATTTGTAGAATGAGACTTGAAAGGCTTTCATTTTGCTCCCTAAATGCCGAATAGTACATATATTATATTGGATTATACTATAACGATAACAAATAGACCAATTTACGACTTTGACAAGGAAGTGCATTGATTTGCCATTTAATGTCGCACTCTAATGATACTTTCAAAAGTTATTAATAAAGACGACAAAAGTTGATACTACAAATTATGTGAGAAACTTGTTTGAGCCTATTCTATTATTATTATTTCATCTGGATCTTCTGTGCATAGGTCATTTCACTTTACCGTTGTATATTTTATATATTTACATGATACCATTTGAAAACAATGTAATATCACTTTGATTTGTAAACAAAATTGACGCTGCTTCTGAAAAAAAAAAGAAATACAGTTAAATGGTTGTATATACGTAATCTATTTTCTTTATTAACATATTGGTAATTGAATATATTATTATACCATTAGAATAGTTCAACCAGTCTAATTGCAGCTCTGGCTTAGGCATTTTCGATTACTATTATCATAATTAACCCCCAACTTGCTTAATCAATTTGACTATGTTTATATCAAACAATTCACTACGAATTGGCATTTCTGGTGTATAAAAAGGATTTTTCATAACGTAATCACTATAAACATCGTAAGTACGTCGAAGTACATGATCAATATTTGGATGTGTTGGATCAGCAATAATCAGAAATTTTGTTCCTATCATTAAAAAAAAGAAATGTTAACAGAATAAATGAGAATAAATGTATAAGAAAAGAAATACCAACCTGTTAACGTTTGAAAACAATACAATTTAAAAGAATCCGCTTCCAAAACCTCTAATCCGGAAGAAGTTGAGTTTCTGACCGGTGAAATTTTGGAAGTAATAGCGTGCACGCTTCATAAAAAGTATATATTTTTAAAATATACACAAAAAGTTGTTATTAAACCAAAATTCAAATTCAATTCTTTGTGCAAGATTATTTTAGCATTAAATCATTCTTCAGCTATAAAAATTCATTCCATTAATATTTACCCGTGAAAAGTACCAGCTAAAACCAAATATTCATTAGCAGTTAAATGTGCTAACCCTTCATTAAAATCTTTTTGATACATAAGGCCACCCGCTTTGCTAATTATGTAAAGTGAATAAATCATTTTTAAAAACAGAAAAAAAGTAAGCGAAAAAGCTCCAAATTTATAAATTTATATTACTGTGGCGCAAATCAACTGTACCACATTGGACCACCAAAATTTGACCAATAGTATTAACTGCATTATCATCATATATTTTTTAAGAAATGAAAATAATTACAAACAAGGTTTGCGTTGTATAGGATGCAGATGCAGGGAGTATGGTAATGGTTGTAGCGGGGTTAGAGGTTAAATGATAATTGGGTTGGAAATAGGAAACATTTAAAAGTTGTGTTTTTGATTCAAATGTATGATGATCCTTTTAATGTGTCAAAAAAGGTATAAAATTAAATATGTCATGCGACAATTTAGTATTTTATTGGGTTTAGTTATATATTATTATTGGTTTGTCGCATAGTGTGATTATTTTTTGTTTTATGAGTAAATTATTTCGATTATTAGTAGTAGGTTGCATAACTTTCTATAATAGGAATAAACAGGAATTTTATATATAGGTGGTGAAACGTGAGGCAAAGGTAATAATAGGAAATATGATGTTATGTGGTACGTATGTAATAAAATTAATGAACTTTGTCAAATTTAGTTAATACGTTATTGTGTAGATCTGGTGTGTATTGAATACAGTCTTTTGTATTCTCTTAGTGTGGTTCTTGAACTTTTTAAATATTTGGGATCAAAGTTTAATAAGTTGAGGTTTTTTCAGGAAGTAGCTCGACATAGGCTTGACCTTCTGCAAAGATAGATTCGTCTATACTTGTAGTGACATGAGGAAAAGTTAGGCCTTGGACTTTGTAAGTAGTTAGAGCAAAGGTGTTTTGTAGAGAGAATTGTTTTCTTGAAGCTCTTCTTCTGTCAATGTAAAAGTATATGGTTTTTTTTTGAACTATAATTTTGGTAATGTTTGTAAAGGTAAGAAGGTGATTTCAATATTGTTGTGGTTGTTTAGTTTTGTTATAATTTCTATTGATCTATTGTAAATATTATTATTAAATAGTTTGTTATTTAGAAATATAATGCAAGTGTCTTTTTAAAGATGTAATAAAGTTGTTGAATATTTGAATTGAGATTATGATTTAGGGGTTCGATATCAAGTATGTCTTCAGCTAGTGATAGAATAGGTTTTGAATCTTCTGGTTAAAAGAAAAGTAGGTACATAGAAGATGATTTATGCTTTGAGCTTTAAGATAAGTGTTTATAATATATATAGTATTATAAAATTAGGTGAGAGTATTATTTGTATTAATATTTGAAAAGATAATGGTAAACAATCGTTTAGATAGTTTTCCAATATATATTTTTTGTAGTATGTTATAAAAATCAATATTATAATGTTGTTTCTATAGGATGGATAAGAAAAAAGGAAAGAAAGAAAACCAAGCAAAGGACTAAAAGATATAAGTTGGATTGATAGGTAATAGTTAAGCAAAGTTGTCTACTGCTAAAGTAGATATTTCTCTGAAAATATGATTGTTGTTATAGATTTTGGTGAAAGTATTACTAATAAAGGTAAAAAAGTCTTCATCTATTATTAAGATTTCTTCTATAATTATAAATTTTATTTTTTTCAGATAAGTTTTGTTGTTAATATTTGAGTAAATTAAGGATTTATAGTAACTGGCATTAAATCTAATTTTTAATAAAGAATATATAGTTTTTCTACCAATCTTGTAAGTAGTTATACTAGTAGAAGCTATGAGTAAGTAGGATAAGTTTTTTGATTGTAAATAATAAATTATTTGATATAACAAAAAACTTTTTCTATTTATGCATATCCTATAAGAAAAAAATAAAGATATTTTTTGGTGAAAGAAGGATTTTATATATTAGATAAGGTTAAATATACTTTGTATTGTTTGTTATCAAGAGTTAAAGAGAAGTATAAAGTTAGGTAAGGATAATATTTTTTTAAAGATAGGAATTGGTTTAGAATTAGATTAGATAAATCATGATTTTTTAGATCTTGTAATAGGATATTTAATATAGTGATATATGAATTTAATAAAGAAGCTTTTTTATATAGATAACTATTTTTTTAAATATCAATTTTTTAATAGAATTTTATTAAAAAAAGTTGCTACAAAATAGTCTTTGTAAGTATTAAATTCACAAGAAGATCTTGTTCTAATCTAGTAGCAAATTTGAAAAAAAGATATTGAAAAAAAAAAATTTACTATTTTCTATTTTATAAAAAGTGAATCTTAAAAAGATAATAGTTTTTTTGAATGACCAATCTGTTCTTATAGTCTCTAGTATTAAATAAACAGAAATTTTGTAAAGGTTGTTTGGATCCAATAGTATAAAAGCGAAAATAATCAGAGTAAATGATATTATTGAAAATTTCATAATCAGGTCAGTTGAAATATTTTTTATAGTATCATTCCAATAAGAAGAGTTCTATTTATTATCTGATATTTTTTACTATTAAGATACCTCTCTACCTACTATCTGATTATTAATAATAATAGAATCAATCAGAACAGTCTCTTCAAAATACTAGTTATATGATAAGTTTTATAATCGCAACATATAAAAAATATACTTTGATAAACAATAAACTCAAAAATATTAAAATTTACATTTTATTAGAGTTCAAATATACTTTCTGTTATATTTTATATACCAAATAATAGTATACTTTTCTTGCGTCCTGGCTAACTCAATAATAAATAATAAATATTGCAAAAATATTAATAACTTAATATTGTATATTCATATTATACATATATATATTAAATTTTACAAAACTACATAGTATATACATATAGACATATATATTAAACTAAAAAACTATATTTACTATAGATGTATACTGCTCATTATACCAAATTTTGATATTTGCATATATAATTATTCAAAAAAAACTTGTTTATTTCAGGCCTTTTATATATCAAATCCTGATTTTCTAATATAAATATAGTTATTTTATATATACATATATACATAGTATATATATAGAACAATAGTTATTTAGTGAATATTCTATATTGTATAAGAGATCTATGATAGTCTGGCCAAATATAAAGTGAAGTTATTTGATATATTTGGTTAGATTATTGCAACAGAAAAAAAATGCTATAATATAAAAGCAATTTAAATTCTAACTCTAATGAATATTAATTTAAAAAATAAAAAATCATTTGCCAGGTATTAAATTCTGATTATAAGATTATTTTAAAACTTTAAACCTAACAATTGCTTGCAGATTTAAATAAATTAAACCAAATATAAAAAAATTTATTATATCTAGATATAAAAATCACTTATAAATTTAATTGAATAAGACTTCTCTAGATTTTTTTACTAAACTATTTATGTGACCTTTTATGATGAATTTCTGATCTTGTAATTTTTCCTATTATAATCATAACTAATCCAGATATATAACACAATTGACTAAATAAAAAAGTCAAATGATTTAAAATAATACCTTTTTAACTTGAAATAAGTACTACTATATTTTTATATGAATATGAAAACCTGTTATTAGTAAATAAAAAAGATTAATATATAGAGCAAGAACAAGCCAAAGTTAACGTGCTAGTAATACTTTTCTGAAAATTAAAGTTTTATAATCTTATTATATATTTGCTTCTAATACTTTAAACACAAAAATTATTATTGTTATAAACTAAAATACAAAGCTTTTTAATAGCTTCAAATTTTAGTAAAACTTTTTTTTACAAAAAACCTCAAAATTTATACCAAACATTTTGTAATACATATGCATATTACAAACAAGTATCCTAATATAATCCAACTCCATATCGTTAAAAACTTTTTCAAAAATGTAATTTGACTTGAAAACAAATTAAACGCAAATATAAACCATTAATTAAAAAAAAAATACGTAGATATTTTAATACTATTTCTTCACACATTTGTTCATATCAATTAAATTTTATTCAGAATAGAACAAATATTTCTAATTCTATTTTATTTAATTAATAATTCACCTATCAACTAGAAAATAGGCAAAATATAATATCTTTTATTTAAATTTTTTTGTCTTACTAAGTTAATAATACATATCCACTAATTAAAAGTTGTAAAGCTCATTGAGACACATCTAACGGTAATTAAATCATCCAAATTAGTCTAGCCAATAGCAAGATATTATCAAAAAACGATTGGCTAACTATATAAAAATCTATGACAGAAATCACATATAAAAATCACTATAGGCAAAATATAGCGTGCTTCTATCTAAAACTTTTTTTCTTACTAAATTAACAATATATGTTCACTAATTAAAAGTTATAGAGCTCATCAAGATGCATCTAATAATAGTTAAATTATCTAAATCAGTCTTGCCAATAGCAAGATATTATCAAAAACGATTGGCTAGCTATATAAAATTTCTATATAAACAAATATTGTTTATATAGTTAGCCAATCATTTTTTTGACAATATCTTACTATTGGCTAAGCCGATTTGGATGATCTAATCACCGTTAGATATATCTCGATAAGCTCTACAACTTTCAATTAGTGGACATATATCATTAACTTAGACCACACTAACTTGGTTTTTTGTTTAACATAACCCTTCCTTCTTTTAAAAATATTTATTTTTTTATTTTATTTTTTTTTTTAACATCTACCCTCT